TGCAAAACAACAGAACGTGGAACTTATTTAATCAAACATAATTCTCATTCATCAAGGAATAACAAGTGAAATATCCACTAAAGCACAGCTTAAGTATATAACACCAACATTGGCTTGGCTCGGAATTGACTCGAGTTTCTTTTCATCCTCGAAATAGACCTGAAAATACATCAAAAGCACGGACAAGTACGCCAAGATACAAAATAAAACGAAAAACACAAAAACACTCGGAAAATGACAAAATGGACCGGACGACACTAAAACGAACCTAAAAATGACTCGATAACACATATAAACACATGAGAATAAGCACAAAAACATAACAAACACATGACCTGCGGCGCGAGCTCGCGGGAATGGCAGCGAGCGCGCGAGTTTTGAGCGCGACGGTGCGTTCTGAGACGCGAGAGCTGGCTGTGGCCTAGTCTATCCCTATACTTAGCCATATTTTCGATTTTTCGCTCCAAATGCTCGAGTTAACTTCCAATTCAACTAACGCTCGAATGTACTCATTTTTTGGCTCGGCTCTAACAAGTCGGTACTTCCGAGCAGGTCGGCACAACCCTCATTTCCCAACTTTTAAGTTGGGAAAATCCTCCTTTTTTTGTTTTTTTTTTTAAAGAAAAACAAGGAAAAATTAAAGGAAAAGAAAAGAAAGAAAAGAAAAGAAAAATGCATGGGTTGCCTCCCACGAAGCGCTCGGTTTAAAGTCGTGAGCTCGACTTTCCCGTCAATTCATTAGTAATTTGGCTCCTCGAGCCGGGAATAAAGGACTTGAACATCCTTAACCTCCCCCTCGATATAGGGTTTTACCCGGTGGCCGCTCACTTGGAAAGATGTTTTGTCGGTCGGGTTAAAGAGTTTAACGACCCCCGAGGGAAATACCTCCTCAATTTCGAACGGACCACTCCATCTTGAATTTAATTTTTCGGGAAATAAACGAAGTCTCGAGTTAAAATGAAGTACCTTCATCCCGGTTTTGAGCTCTTTCCTTAGGATTTTCGAATCATGCCACCTCTTGACTTTGTCTTTGTAAATCCGGGAATTCTCATACGACTCATTTCGCAACTCATCCAACTCATCGATTTGTAAATGTCGCTCCTTCCCGGCTAAGCCGAGCTCAAAGTTAATGGTCCGGATAGCCCAATAGGCTTTATGCTCGACTTCCACCAGCAAGTGGCAAGCTTTTCCATATACCAAACGAAAGGGACTCATACCTATTATACTTTGAGAATGTGATGAGCCCAAATTACAGGATCTCATGCTTTGAGATTCTATTTGACATTTTTTTTTTTTTTGTCATTTGTCTTAGATAAATTTTATTTTACTCTCAAATGAAAAATAATTAGGTTTGGAATAGCCATAAATGTAATAGATATTAATGGTCATTTTTAGCATTAAGATTACGTTTCCTATTATAGACATGATTTATAGGCATAATTTCTTTACTCAATCTTTTTTTTATCATCTTTCTTCTAAAATTATAAAAATTAGCACTTAAATTATAAATAAATTTAAAAGTTAATAATTTTTTTTTATGTATTAGTTTTTCATACATAATATCAAATTAATCATATCTTGATGAATTAAGATTTTACATCTGTATTGTACATACAAAATGTATAAATAATTATATTTATGTTTATAATAAAAATAAATCACTTATTATTATTAACTCAAAAAAAAAATTTAAATCAATTCAATTACACAAGTAATTTTAAAAAGTTATTATAATAAAAAATGATGAGCCGTTTAAGTGCTGTATATTGTTTTAAATACAAATAGTGATATAGTTATTCAAAAGAATATTTGAAAATTAAAAAAAAAAAATTATTGTTTTTAATTTTAAGTATAACTTTTAACAAATACTCGTGTAATACATGAATGTGTAATACACTAATATTGTACTACTGTTTATTGTGTTTTTGTGCTTTTGTTCTATGTGTTTTTGTGTGCTTTCGAGTCGATTCTAGGATTGTTTTAGGGTTGGCCGGTCCATTTTGTCGTTTATCGTGTGTTTTTATGCTTTCCATTTTATTTTATATTTTGGCGTACTTTTCCGTGTTTTTCGGTTATTAATTTCAGGTATTTCGGAGATGGAGAGAGAGAGAGAATCGAGTCACTTGCCGAGATACGAGCATTTCCGAAGAAGTTGAGTTTTCGAGCAGTTTCAAGCCATTCCGTGCGAAGTTGTTGATTGAACCGAGATGTTGGGGCCCTAGTCGATCTCCTACCGAGATGTCACCTAGCCTTGTCGCGTGCCCGCCGGCGTTTCCTCGAGCTCGAGAGTGCTTTTTCCTTCACCATTGCACCCGGCGCGTGCCCGCCGGCGTTTCCTCGAGGTCGAGAGTGTTCTTTTTCTCTACCATTGCACCCGGCGCATGCCCGCCGGCGTTTCCTCGAGGTCGAGAGTGTTCCTTTCCTTCACCATTGCACCCGGCGCGTGCCCGCCGGCGTTTCCTCGAGCTCGAGAGTGCTCATTTCTCACCATTGCACCCGGCGCGTGCCCGCCGGCTTTTCCTCTAGCTCGAGAGTGTCTTATTAAATGTGCATGTTTTTAGTGTGTGTTTGTGGTGTAGCTATAAGTAGACATTTTGCTTTGTATTTTGGGAACAACCCTCATTTCCCAACTTTTAAGTTGGGAAATCCTCTCCATTTTCTCTATTTTCTTTTTATGCTTTGGTTAGGAGTTTTATTACTCTAACTTTCCGGCAAGTTTTCGGCGACGTCATTTTATTTCAAGACTCGAACTTTTCCATCCGGTGTTCTTCACGCATGCATTAGGAGAGTGGGTAATTAGATTTAATCCTCATTACTTCGAATTTGCCCGTTTTTGCTTATGATGTGTTTCAAGGTGAAGGTGGTTTGCTTGTTGAATGGAGGAAAGTTTGATTTTTGTTGCTCGTCATGATGTGTTAGGGATTAGTTCATGCTTATCTTGAGTAAAGGGCACGATTTGGATTTAAGCGTAGTCATTAGTTAGAAAGCTCGATTTAATCACCTTGGATCACATGGCTACTATGATGTTGCTTGGTTCGTCGCGTCTATTCGAGTGATAGAGACTCCGGTTGACCTAAAGTTTTCATCTTGCATAATTTTCTTTCATTTGCTCTAGATTGTTAGTTTAATTTCATGTGAAATCAATCCCCATCAAGCGAGTAAAATGTGTAGGACCTTGTTTTCGGTTATGTGATTTTGACGACTAGGTAGTGAACGAAGCTCCGAAGAGCCTTCCTTTGAGAACGACCCGAGTCGGGTACCTCGGTTACCACATGCCCATCATATCTATACCAAACAACTACCTCCTATTTTTAATATATGTCGTTTTGAAAAGTTGCACACTAATTAAGAATAATTTTTTTGTCAATAATAATCTTATTTAATGAAGATAGAAATAAATGTTTTGAGAAAAAATGAAGAGTGAATATGAAAAGACGTAATGTATTTATTGGTTAAATAAGGGTAATAATGAAAAAATATGTACAAAAGATCCAAAACGACATTTATTTGACAAATGATTGAAAAAGCTAAGATGACATTTAAAAAAAAATAGGAGGGAGTACTAATTACCAATATTATTACATATATCTTGTATTTACATAATTTTTTTTAACTAATCATAGTTTCACATATATATTTTGTCTTTTATATAAATTCCAATAAAAAATTCTATCATATTTTTTTTTTAAAATTAACTATAGTTAATAAAAAGACTAACCAAACACCAAATCAAATATAACAATAAATAAAAAATAAAAAAAAAAAGTAATAAAAAACCAAATCAAATCCACTCTTTGGGCAAAGGGAAATATAACATGACTGATTAACATTCAAAACAATGGAGTTTTTAGGACAAAGGGAAGGAGAACATCAACATGACAGATTACATTCAAAATAAAGGCAGCGTATTTACAAGGAAATGGAAGGAAAACTAACTAGCAACTAACTAGCTACTTGCGGGCCCTGGCGGACCTCAACTCCCGATCCCTAATAGTAACCTCCAGCTTCAGCTTCCCATCAGCACCCACAAATTCCTCGGGCACGAAAAGATACTTGTTGCCAGGCTGCTGCCCCCCGAGCCAAACCGCTCTCGTCTCAGCCAGAGCCCTCAGCCTCGCAAAACCCACACCATCCGCCGCCATAACCTCGTAAACAAATTTCCTCTCGAGTGAGATGGGTCCAATGCACTCCACAGCAACCATGCTCCCGAGGCGGTTGGGCCGGCGGCTGAGGACAAAAAGCCTGTCCTTAGTTACCTCTTGCAAGAAAACGTGCCTCTGATCGGTTTCCAAAGAGACAAGAAACTCATAGTCGAAGAAGAAAGACTGAGACTGAGACGAGGCAGAGTGGGTGGCAGCAAAATGGGAGTAGACGGAGGAGGGGAGGCCGGTGTAGGTGCAGTTCGGGTAAGGGCAAGAGCAAGGAGAGTGTCGGCACGTTTTTTCATGTTGGAGCTTGTTGCTGAAGCTCGAATACTCCGTGCACCCATACAAGGCATTAGGGCATGGGACTCGCATCGAATCGAGAACCCTCTCTAGAGCTCGGTTTCTATTGGTGCCAATGGGACTGCCGCAGCTGCCGCAGTTGTTGTGCGCCCCTAGGCAACATGCCCCGCACGACACGTGCCCGTTTTCGCACTACACAGCATTCAGGTTCAGGGATTTACAAGGAAATAAATCAATATCCGTGCAAGTTGAAGGATAAAAGGAATTAAGTAACAGTAGTACCTGATATACCGGAGGGCTCAAAGGATCCATGCAAATAGGACAATCTAAAAGTTCTGGATCGGTTAAAGTAAATGAAAAAGAACCCGGCACTACGTTCTCACTGTGCGTCGCACTTGGAGGGGTCAAGTTGGTCACTATTTCTTCACCTTCCTCGTCATCCGATGGCTCACAGCTGCCTTTACAGCCTTTTTGGGCCTTTGGCGACTGAGTATGAGCGGCGGAATTAGGAGATTGGGAGGTCTTTCGAGAGGTGGTCCGGGGTCTTCTCGCCATTGTTTGTTTGTTGATGACTTGACTTGAACGACCCTTCTGCTCTGCCCCTGTAATTATATACTACAGGCTTCTTTCCTAGTATTTAATTTATATGCACTTTTGTTTCTTGATTTTGATTATATATATCCTTCTGCCTCTATTTGATGATTTTGGCGGTTTAGACAGTATGGATAAGTGTTTAAGGCACCTTACATAATCAATTTTCTCGAAAAGGCAAATGATTTAATTGACGTAAGAAATGATTTGATGTGTTTGGTTCTTAGTATTAAAAAGTGAAATAATATTTAAGTGCGATTGGATGCGATGGCTTGGGTTTTTTTCAGTTTAATTAGTGGTTTCGTGTTTGAGCCCTGGGAACACAGCAGTGTTGAAAACTCTTGAGGGAGAACTTTGCCGCTCTTGTAGTCCTACCCGGCTCAATTCCGGATTAGTCGGTTCCCCTATAAATCCAAAAATCGGAAGGTCTTTGTACCAAAAAAAAAATAATAATAATAATAATAATAATAATAATAATAATAATAATAATAATAATAATAAAGAATTAGTAGTGTTCCAGTGGGATGACTTGTCAATCTATATCAATTCACGGCGAGTCGGCGATATAAGTGCGGCAAGCATCGAATAGCGCGAGTGCACCATAACCTAGACAATCTTCTCTCTCCCATAAATAAAGGGCAATGCTATATGTACACTCCTTTTTAATAAATTACACAAAGGGCAATGCTATATGTATACCTCTTTTTTACACACAAGGGGTGTACATATAGACACCCCCTAAATAAACTCTTATTACACTTTTCCATGGCACATTAATCATTTAAAACAGTACACTTGCACAAATACAAATAAAAATTTATACTATACTAGTATGTATATGTATATGTATGTAATATTTAAGATCATAATTTAAATAATATTTTCTCCTATTTTTAATATATGTGGTGTACGTTAATTAAAAATATTTTTTTTGTCAATAATAACCTTATTTAATGAAGATAGAGCTAAATGTTTTGAAAAAAAAAGTGAAAAGTGAATATGAAAAGACCTAATATATTTATTAGTTAAATGAGGACATAATATATTTATTAGTTAAATAAGGATAACAATAAAAAAATATATAGAAAATATCCAAAACGACATTTATTTGACAAATAGTTGATAAAAATAGAATAACATTTAAAAAAAAAAAATAGGAGGGAGTAACATACTACCTCCTATTTTAAATAGATGTTGTTTTGAGATGTTGCACATCTATAATATTTTTTTGTAAATAATAAATTTATTTAATGAAGATAGAGATTAATGTTTTGAGAAAAAGATGAAGAGTGATTATGAAAAGACGTGATGTATTTATTAGCTAAATGAGGATAATAATAGAAAAATATATACAAAAGATATAAAACGACATTTATTTAACAAATAGTTGATAAAACTAGAATGACATTTAAAAAAAAATAGGAGGAAGTATCAGATTTTATATATTTTATCAATAATAATTAGTAAATGAATGATAAACTATTAACATACATATTAATTTTCATAACGACTGCAGTTATTTAGAGCTTGATTGTTTATGAATTATTTCACTCAATTTTATTTCATTTCAAAATTTAACTTAATTTTAACTCAATTCCACTATTTTTACTATTATTCATATAATTAAATAATACAAACCAAACATTCTTACACATCAAATTAATTTTAATTCACTATTCTTCAATTCACATAATTTTAACTACTAATCATTTTCAATCATTTATCTCTTACTTTTACATCAAATCAACTTTAATCATTTTATTTAAATATTATTTTAATACATTCTTAAAATTCCACTAACAATTAACCATACCACTTTTTTTAAAATTAACTATGGTTAACTAAAATAATTCATTTGAACAAATTATTTCATAAACAATCAACCCCTTAATTTTGCAATATTTTTTTATTATGAATAATTGATTAAATAAAATAATATTTAAATTATTATTATTATATTAATTGTGTTCAAAATTTTAAGATTTTTGGTTATATCATAAAAATTAAATAATTAATTTTAATAAAAACACTTGCTTAATGAGTTACAATTAAAAAGAAACAAATATATAGTTTGAAAAAAAGTTTAAATTATAACATGATTTAATGTGACTTTTATGATTTGTTAGGAGTAGTTGTTATATCATTTTACATCCTAAATTAAATATCATTTTACATCCTAATATCATTTTGGTTATATCATTTTACTAACAGAAAATCAACATATTAGTTATGAATACACCAAGGAGTATTGTCGCAATAGATTACAAACAAATTGTTTACCAAATAATTGCCAAATGATAATTTTTCCTAACCGATTACCAACGGATATTTCACCAACGAAATACTAATGGAATTTTTCCAACAATTATCAGCGGAGTTGTTACCAACGAATTACCAACGTATTATTTCCTGAATATTTTTTTAATTTTTTTTGTTTTGTGAGTTTCACATGTTCCCTATTACTTTTTATTAGTGTGTATCATGTGCGATGCACGAAACTTTTACTTAAAGTCTTTTGAAAATTTTATTTTAAACATAATTATTTATATTTAACATCTCGTTATTACAAGAAAAGAAATACAAAAATATGAAAAAAAACAGGCACATATACAACTAAATTAACTGATTTTATATTCAAATTAAAAATCAATTTACATCCTAAATTAAATATCACCAAATTTGTTGTGTGACATAGATTTTATTTTCAACTTTAAATCTCATCAATTTATAAATATGTTGTATGATTTCGTCTCATGAAATTATTTTCTTTTTGAACTTAATTTGTATGATATTTACTCTCTACTATCTTCTTACTCCCACTGTTTAAGAATAAGTGTCGTTTGAATTTCTAATTTTTGTGATTTTTCAAATGCTGTGTGTAAATGTATTTATGCATTTTCTTATATTATATCCTTTCA